AAAAACTTCCAGTGTTGGGGGATTCACAACTTCTGGAGGCAAGTTGTTCCACTGATAAATTGTTCTAACTGTCAGGAAATTTCTCCAGACAGTTCTAAGCTGCTTCTCTTCTTGATTAGTTTCCACCCATGGCTTCTTGTTCTACTCTCAGGTGTTTTGGAGAATAGCTTGACTCCTCTTCTTTGTGGCAGCCTCTGAGATACTGGGACACTACTATCATGTCTCCCCTAGTCCTTCTTTTCATTAAACTAGACTATAATAATAATAACAACTGATTGGGTAAATGATCCCCTCAGTTCAACCCTAGTTGATGAAATTGGGTTGAACAACAGTTTGCTTTAAGGGGAAGATTTAGTAGCTCGGCTATCAAAGGAGCTGTTGAGCACATCTAGTCCAGATCACACCCCATTAGGTTCTTGCTTCATGGTTAAGTGAATGGTTTAATTGGATCAGGCTGACTGTCAAACACGGAATGATTAGCGCTCCAAAAAAATATCAGTTGAGTGTTCCTATCAACATTGTTTATTGGATCATAATGATCTTTCTTTTAACTGCAATGACATACAAAGTACAAGAACAACGGAAGTAGCTGTTTGTCCTTCAATTTATTGCTGAACTTTAATAATACAAGCTGTATAAAAATATTTTACAGAAAGCAAAATCACAATTAAACTTGAGATTAAAACATAACAAGGGGACAATAGAAAAGATACAACCCACCACTCCTGTGGGGTATTTTTTTTTTGGTTTTTAGTTAAAAATAGGTGAGCGAGCAGTTTAGTCATGTGTTAAAATATGAGCAGTAAAGCTGTTTTCCATTTAGGTCTATGACTCTGTGACTGAATCAAGCAGGCATGACTAGCTGCAAACCAGGCTGAATATTTATCTTGCCTCACTTGGAAATACATGTTCATCCTGACTTCCTTGCCATCCAAAGAAACCTTATTTCCCAATGTTGGATTGCTTCTCAGGGCAGTTTATTTTAAAAGTTAGTTTGGAATTCCTGCTTGTGAAACATGTTGATGACTTGGAAGCAGAAGCAAATAATTATTTTTAAGCCAAATGTACCATTTGGATGTGTAATTCTTTTAATTTGGATGTATGGAGCTCATTAATTTGGTCTACGGATTTGGAAACTTAGAAATCTTTGGTGTCGTTTGAGAAGAGCTCCATCTGATCAGATAAAGTCCAGCCTCCTGTTCACACAGTGGTCAGCCAGATGTTTCTCGGAAGCCCACAAGGAGGACAGGATCTTCTCATACTAGACAAGTAGCAGCTGGAATTCAATGGCATAATGTTAATGGGTCACACATAAAATCTCAGACACGAATACTGAGACAGTATTCTTAATTTCGTCTTTGGGGTTGCTAATCCTCATTTTTCAATAGCAATTCCAAGTGGCGCTTGGTAATTCACTGAAATCTTTCAAAGCTGCTGAATTAATTGAGAGACAGTGAGATTTGGGGTGGGGTAGGGTAGAGAGAAGCTCAATAACAGTAGACTGGGTTTTGATATATTTTACATTCCACATTCTTTGTCAACATTTGATGACAACTGATAGCAGGAACGAAGAGGAATGATGATACATACAACACAAGCTGAATAATTATATGCATAACATAACTTGCATTTCATTTTCTCCAACAGAAAAATTACCGGTCTATTGGTAGGGTATATAATGACCACATTCCTGAGACTCCAGTTATCTGATTTTAAAAAAATTAACTATGGATTGCAATTTATTGTGCTTATTATTTATAGCAGTGTTTCTCAAGCTTGGCAGCTTAAGGATATGAGGACTTCGACACCCAGTATTCTGGGAGTTGAAGTCCATACATCTTCAAGTTGCAAAGGTTGAGAAACACTGATTTACAGTATTCTAATTATGAAAGTCCTTTTCCTCATGAAGAGTTTTAGGATACATTTATGCACCCTTTTTATTGCATCTTCCTTTCTGAACTTTTTTTGTCAACACATTTTCAGGTACCCATCTTCAAAATTGTGAGGACTAACTTTGTTTTTTGTTTAAAGAAAAACTGGGATTGTCAAAATTCTCAGCCTCTCATAGGCCCTATGCAAGAGGACTGTAGGTTTCCCTTAGCATAATACAATTTTGGCCTAAATGAATCTATACAATTGCTCTCAGCACCTTCCTTCAACAATATGCACAATGCCCTGGAAATCCAGAGAGATGCAAGATACCAACTTATTAAATTTGTTATAGCAATAGCAATAGCAGTAGACTTATATACCGCTTCATAGGGCTTTCAGCCCTCTCTAAGCGGTTTACAGAGAGTCAGCATATTGCCCCCATCAATCTGGGTCCTCAGTTTACCCAC